CAAAGGTTCAATGAGAAGCACAAAGAATTTAGCGATGACCCAAGGAATATACGGGCTTGAGCACCGATGGAATGAATCCCTTCAATGAGAGGATGAGCGACCACAGTACTAGGCCAGTGATCTTGACCATGTACAACATCCCAACGTGGTTGTGTTAGAAGAGAAAGTACCTTCTCCTCACTATTCTTATTTCTGGCCCTAAACAACCAGGCATTGATATAGACGTGTTCCTCGAGCCTTTTATGCAAGAAATGGAGAGGCCATGGTGGCATGGGGAGCCGATGTACGATGCGTTCTGAAAGGAGGACTCCATATGTAGAGCAATAATATTTGTTACTGCCAATGATTACCCCACGTTGTTTGCTTTGTCTAGACAGATCAAAGGGAAGACGGGATGCTTGGTTTGCTTGGATGGTACTACATGGGTGTACCTGTATGCATCCAAGAAGATAGTTTACCTAAGGAACCGACGCTTCTTAAAGACAAGTCACAAGTACCACAGCAAATTGTTCTTTAGATTTTATGACAACACCCCGGAGATTGAACCCCCTCCAGAGAGACATCATAACAGAGAACATGTGTACATAATGGTGAAAAACATATGCGTCGTCTATGGAAAGAAAAATCTGGATGGGACGAACAGAGATAGAAGCAAACCTCCTATCGAAGGCGTACCTTTCAAGAAACAATCGATCTTCTTTCAGTATCTGCCTTATTGGCCAGACTTGGAGGTCCCCCATGCCATTGATGCTATGCATATGCAGAAGAATGTCTTTGAGAGTCTCATTGCTACCTTTATGGACACAGGCAAGTCAAAGGATGGTCTGAAAGCACGCAGCTAAACATGATGCCACAGCTTCACCCGGTACCTGAGGCTAATGGAAAATACACTCTACCCGTGGCATGCTTCAACTTAACACCAGACGAGAAGAGAGCTATATGCACTTTCCTGAGGGGGGTCAAAGTCCCCACTGGGTTTTCAGCAAATGTGAAGAAGCTAGTCTCGATGAAGGACTTGTCAATAACACACTGCAAGGCTCACGATTGTCGTGTGATGCTGACAGTGTTTCTACCTATTGCAATCAGAGCTATAAAGCCAGAGTTCTTGAAAATGGCCATCACCCGCATGTGCTACTTCTTTTCGAAGATCTCACAGAAGACGATTGGCAAGCAAGAGCTGAATGACCTACAAGAATTTGTGGTGGAGAAACAAAACCAACTAGAGATGTGTTTACCTCTTGCTTTTTTTGATATAATGCCACATCTCATGATTCACATAGTTCATCAGATACAGGCGCTGGGCCCTTGCTACTTGCATGAAATGTGGTCCTACGAGCGGTTCATGTCGGTTCTAAGTTGATACGTGCATAATCGAGCATACCCAGAGGGCTCCATGATAGAGGGTTACAGTACTGAAGAAGTTGTCGATTGCTGTCAAGAGTACCTAAAAGCATAGAAAGGGATTGGTAAACCTGATTCTCGTCACAAGGGTAGGCTGGCTGGCTGGGAAGGGCATCAGTGGTAGAAAAGTGTTCATCGACCATGATTACAAAGAGGTGAGTCGGGCGCATTACAGTGTCTTATAGAGTACACAACTGATGCAACCGTACATTGATGAACACTTGGCTATCATTATGGTAGAGAGAAATGGTCGTTCAGATGATTAGGTCTTGAAACAACACAAGCAACGACTAACTACATGGTTGAAGGACCAAAACATACCGCCTGGAGAAACCATAGACTCTATTACCATCAGTAGGTTGGCGGAGAGGCCATCGAGACAAGTGACATCTTGGAATGCTTATGACATCAATGGGTATACGTACTATACCCATGCAAAGGATAGTAAATATGTGAACCAAAACAATGGCATTCGAATAGAGGCTCTAGATGGATTGGAGCGAAAGATCCAATACTTTGGCATCATTGAAGAGATATGGGAACTTGACTATGGAAGGAATATAACGGTGGCCCTGTTTCGATGCCGCTGGATCAAACAACACCAACTGAACGAGATCAGATTGAGAGTCCTGGACCTCGAGAATCTAGGCTACCAAGATGACCCTTGGGTGCTCGCTTCACGTGTCACACAAGTTTTCTATATGTCTAACCCACAAAGTAACCTCCCCCCGAAGAAGAAGACAAAGCACGTGGTTGCCTCCAGGAAATAGTACATTATCAGAGTTGATGGCGTGGATGATGTTGAAGCTTACGATAACTATGATGAGATGCCGCTATTCACAGACTTTTCAAAGAAGATCAGTGTTGTAGAAAAGAACCTTCCCAAAGACATTGCCATGGAAATGAAAAGGTGTCTAGGAGAAAGTCGTTACAGTGGGCTAGCTAGTTGTTGAATGTGGAGTGTTTGTGTAAGTGTGTGTTTATAAGACTTCATTTAAGCATGCGTGTGAGACTATATATTTATGTATGTGTGTAATACTATATATTTATGTATGTGTGTGAGACTACATTTATACATATGTGTGAGACTACCCTTTGCAACATCCAGATGAATCTATTTCAACATCTACTTTATTACTACTAAAACTTTATGAAATCACTTAACACTTTAAGAAATGAAGAAATGGTCAAAATAAAAGTAGGATATAGTGATGTGTTCAACAACTTTTATATTCATCACCGTTACAGCTGAAATCATTTAGCGGTTGAAAATTAGGTTTGAAGCTGTCATTTTCTGAAATTTAAAATTTGAACTGTTCAAATTTTGTCAAATAAAAAGATGACCAAAATAAAAGTTGTAGATAATGATGTGTTCAACAACTTTTATATTCATCACCTTTACAGCTGAAATTATTTAGTGGTTCAAAATCTGGTTTGAAGCTGTCATTTTCTAAAATTCAAAATTTAAATTATTCAAAATTAGTGACAAAGATAGATGACTAGGCTAAAACGATAGAGCATGATTTTAGAACATGATTTTAGAAAATTTTAGGAAATAAACCATCACATTTGGAGTTAATATGAGGAATAAAAACTAGTTACAAGTTTTAGCCACAGATTAAAAAGAGAAATCACACTTGTTTATCATTGATCATCATGAACAGTCGTGATTTTTCTTTTTAATCTCTGGGTAAAATTTGTATCTAGTCTTTCTCTCTCATACTAGCTCCAAATGTGACGATTTTTTCATAAAATTTTCTAAAATCATGCCCTATCAAGTTACTGTGTTGATTTGATCATTCTTTTTATTTGACAAAGTTTGAGCAGTTGATATTTTCAAATTTAAAAAATAACAAGTTCTAACGATATTTTCAACCATTAAATGATTTCAGCTGAAAAAGTGATGGATACCAAAGTTGTATAACTCATCAAGATCTATAACTTTTATTTTGGTCATTTCTTCATCTGACAAAGTGATAGTAAATATTATTCACAAATCAACATGTCTCTCGTATAGTTCATGAAACTATGAGTCATATGTGAATTTGTGAATAATGTTTACTAATACTTTGGCACATGAAGAAGTGATCAAAATAAAAGTTGTAGATAGTGATGAGTTCAACAACTTTTATGTTCACGACTTTTATTGTTGAAATCATTTAAGGTTTTAAAATCTTGTTTGAAGTTGCCATTTATTGAAATTCAAAATTTTAACTGTTCCAATTTGGTCAAATGAAAAGATGATCAAAATAAAAGTTGTACATATTGATGAGTTCTATAACTTTGGTATTCATGAGTTTTTCAGCTGAAATCATTTACTCTTTCAAAATATTGTTTCAAGTTAAAATTGTTTGAATTTTAAATTTTGAATCGTTTAAACAAAGTCACATGACAAGATGACCTAAATAAAAGTTGTATATGTTGATGAGTTATACAACTTTTATGTTTACAATATTTTCATTTTAGGTTATTTAATGTCCTAAAATTGTAGTCGAAGTTTTAAAATTCAAATTTTTAAAATTCAAATTGTAGTCACATGACAAGATTAAGTTATGTTTACAACTTTTATCACTACAATTGTTTTTATATATATTTGTGCATATATAGAATAATACAAAATTTTATATACATTTACTTTGTGTTTTTGTGATTTAAAAAATACATAATTAATAATTTAATAAAATAGAAATTCATTTATAGGGGCGGCTAGATCAGGAACCGCCCCTACAAATGGGCGGCTGGATCAGGAACCGCCCATAGAAATGCATTTTTAGGGGCGGCTGGTTCAGGAACCTCCCCTACAAATCGTCCTGAGTATAAAAACAAGGGCGCACAGGTGAAAATGTGTTGGGCGCTCTCTTCTTCCTCCCGACGTCGTCAGGCTGCCCAAGTGCAGTGCGACCTCGGCGGTGGCCGGCCCTCCGCGCGGCGGCAGCCACCCTTGTCCTCCTCCTCTTCCTTCTCCTCCTCCTCCTCCTGGTCCTCCACCACTCCCCTTCCTCCTCGCGACACAAGGCAGCGGGTCGCAGCGGCGCAAACGACAGCCTAGGGTTTGGCGCGCGGTGTCCTCCTTGCCTCCTTGCCGGTCGCCGCCCTCCACCTCCGCCTGGCGCGCCGTACACCTCCTCGTTCCCTCGTCTATGACCAGGTGGCAGCAGTGGGTCGTGGGTTTGGGCGCGGGCACGGGTGCAGGCCTGACCAGGTGGCAGGCGTCGGCGCTGGCGGCGGTGGCCGGGTGGGTGTGGGCGGCCTCCTTCTACGACCTCACGCGTCGGACGCGCGCGCTCGTCCAGCCGTGGGTCACACGCCGGGTGCACGCCAAGACGGCGGCCATCCTCAGGTTCCAGGACCGATCCCCTCCGCGTGCTTTGCTGCTTTGCTTGCTTTGCTGTGCATAAAACAAAATCATCCAAAAGTTTCCATAAGAAAGAAAAATACCACTCAGATTTCTTTATCTTTTTATGAATCATATCTGATTATGAGATCAAATGAACCATGTCTCTTCTATCATTGGCTATTGGATCTATGCATAAATTTTCAGTTTAGCAGAATGATAAAGTGCTGTTTAGTAGTATGCATCAAAATCGATCTTGCATTCATTACATGTTTCCGAGAAACTGCAGAAAACATCATTTATGGCTAAGATTTGCATCTTTGGTGAGTTGTCATGATATTAATGGGACTTGATTTCCCTAACGACCCAGCTTGGAGCTGACCTATTGGACACAGCATAAACTGATTGGGTAGACTAAGCCGTATAAGATGCAGGTATGCATGCAGTGGCTGTAATTAGGTATCACCTCACAGCATGAGCTAAAAATACTAAGGAATAAAGCAGTTTTCTGTGCTAACTTAGCCTTATTTTGATGATAAGCATTTAAGCTACGCTAAGCCAAATAACATTCAGCAAACTATATTAAGAAGATACAATTATAGAACTGAGCCAAAGAAACACCAATGAAAAACAAACCTTTCGGCATGTAGTTATTGGATCATCCGCGTAAAATGGTGGATACCCAACTAGCATCTCATACATGATCGCGCTCAGAGACCACCTGGGAATAAAACAGAGGACAATAAATACCAGTTATTAAAATTGAAGACACATATAAGCACCTTGACATTAACTTGATTATGTAAACATTATTCCAACAAAGTATACAAATCGCATTCCATTCCATATTCCTTCTTTAGCAGAACCTCTGGAGCAATATAATCCGGTGTCCCAACAGTTGAGAATGCCTGCATAAACATAAATTCAAAGTAAGAAAAACTAATAAGAAGCAATCATGTTGTACATTGTACACAAAGAGTATCAATTCTCTTCCTGGTAAGGATCGCTACAAGATATTATCCAAGCAAAATAAAAATCACAAAGATTGATGCAATCCCCAATAGGTAAACTGTACATATGTATACCAGTTTTCTCCTGTTCATCTGCCAGTGCTGAAGCTGTTCGTGTTGACTTCTCCATCTTCTACCATTTGCTGTATCGGACAAGGAACTATCAATATCCATTGATTCCCTCAAGTTGTCATCACCCATGGGTTCATCTTCATTCAAAGTTGAGAGCTTCGAACAATCAATTGGCTTGCACAGCCCAAAATCTGACAGCTTCATGTGACCATTCTTATCTAGAAGCAAATTATCAGGCTTAATATCTCTTCAACAATAACAAACCAAATATATAGATCAGCAAAATGGTAGAACCACAATACATTAGGTGCCTTTAAACAAAGATATGTAACCTGTGGATGTAGTTATGTTTATGGATGGATTCAATAGCAAGAATTGTCTCAGCAATGTAGAATCGTGCCACATGTTCAGTCAAGGTATCCTCTCTCATGAGAAGGGTCATGATATCACCACCAGGGAGGTACTCCATAATAAGGTAAAGGTACTCGGTGTCTTGGAAAGAATAGTAAAGCATCACAATGCAGTGAGTAGCAACTTCGGCCAACAAGTTTCTTTCAGCTCTAACATGTTCCACCTAATGTTGAACTTTTCAGTTCTTTTGGAAACTTCAGGATGATTTTGTTTTATGCTTTTGGAAACTCCATTCCTCTCTTTTGCTTGCTTTGCTGTGCAGCTACTACTACCTAACTACTACTACTCTGCTTTCCTATATTTACTACTCTGATATGTACCTAATTAGGAGACCGTACCTAATTAGTATGAACTGTATTTTTTATAGATTAAACTGTGCAGTTTTCATATATGTTCATTATTCCACTTAAATAACTAAATAAATTAAGAAAGGCATTAAAAGAAATGAATTGGTGGTGAACACCTTACTTTCTGGTGATCTTATATCATGTGTGAACTTGTGATGCACTTGGTTTGGTCAGAAATCATGTTTGGCACATAAGTAAATATTTAATTTTAGCATTTTTATAATTTGGACAATTTCTAACACTTGGTGAATTAGGCTTTGATAATGGTGTTTGCTGGGAATCATGTGAATACCAAAGTTGTAGTTAACTTACTAAACTAGCTTGTGTTAAAATTTGGTGGCATTTGGCCAAGTAGTTTAGGAGATATGGCTGTTCTCAGTTTGAGTCCAGTTTTGTCTGCTCTCTGTCTTGTGAAGACAGATTTCTGTTGTTAAGTGATTTCGACCTGGTAAAAGTTGGAATCATGCCTTGAGGTCTGAAAATGAATTTTAGCCAATTTCATAAGCTTTCCAAATTATCTTGTTGCATGTTATTTGGATTTGTAAATCTCCAGTTATGGTCAGGTTACTATGCTGCTGTTGCTCTCTTACTACTGCTACTACTCTGTACTATACTCCATTCCTCTCTTTTGCTTGCTTTGCTGTGCAGCTACTACTACTTCCTATATTTACTACTCTTCTATGAGTTTTCTTTTTTTTAGTTTGGGGAAGGACCTAGTAGTCCTGGGCCAACTAAAAATGCAATCTGAGATTTTTTTAGTTTGAAATCTTAGGCAAAGGGCTTTCGTGCTACTGCTCTATTCTCTCTTCTAGTGCTACTCCTACTACTTGTTGGTGCTCTCTTCTCTCTTCTCTATTTTTTTGACAAACAGCAGCTTTGTCGGTGATGATATGCAGATCTACTCTCTTCTACTTAACTACTACTACTACTACTACTCCTACCACTACTCCTACTACTACTACTACTACCCTACTCCTACTACTAGGTGGGCTTATGCATGGGCCAATAGCCCAAACTGTGGCTGCTACTTACTACTTACTACTCTATGTCTGTTAAGCAACATTTTGACTACTTTTGCCATCAGCTGCTGCTCTATGTTTGTTAAACAGCTGTTGCTTTTTTTGCCAACTCTCCCCTCTCCTCTCCTCTCCTCTCCTTTGTTTTGACGATGATGAAATTGTCTAAGTCCATACATTACATGGAATATGAGCTGATGATTAAGAACTTGGGAGAAACATGGCATCATTAGCAGCCGCCCCTACATTACCTTCTCCTCTCTTCTCTGTTATGATGCCTTGATGCTCCAAGTTCAAGATCAGATGATGTTTGACATGTTTTCTGAGGCCTCTACTACTGCTACTACTCGTTTTTTTGATATATTGTTGTTTTATAGGACTACTTTGGTTTATAGACCTTTTTGATTTCTTATACCTTCTCGCGTACCTAAAGCACACTATCTTGCATCTATTAGAACAAAGCGCGAAATAATGTCGCGGACACCAGACAGTGCAGCCCAATGCCCGGAGCATGATGAGCAGCCAACCTATGAGGCGCAAGCACTAGAGGACCAGCTTACTCAGGAGCAGTTCGATAACGAGTTAGAAAAGGATCTAGAAGTGATGCTTACGCAGGAGCAGTGTGACGAGGAGGAAGGGGGAGCAGAAGGAAGAGCAGGAGAGGCTGATGAAGGCGAAGAAGAAGAAGATGATGATGATGACTCAGAAGAGGGATATGTAAGTCCTGAGGATCCTTTCCCACGTGAAGCCAGAAGGAGGCCAACGGAGGAAGATTTGGACAAGGATTTTGACCCGAACGAGGAGGTAGGGAAAAAGCCTTAGCTTGTAAATTTTGCTAAAGCTTTGGCTGTGTTACCTCTGCTAACACTTTGACCTGTCGTATATACAGGTCCCTCCTAAAACTCGAAAAAGACGACGTCGACGTCCGCGACATCTCGCTGGACAAGACGGAGTAGAGGAAAGGAGAGCAGAGGCAACAGCCACAGAGATGGATCACGATGCCTCTGCTCCACAACCTCAAGACACAACCATGACTACCAAGCCTAAGAGGAAACGAGGGGATAGAAAAGCAAATATATATCCAGATAAGGCATGCTATGTGTTAATGGAGGTCGGGCCAGCAGGGGAGATCCTTGAGCCAAAGGAATTAAGAGGACGATTCGGTAATGCGATTGGGGCCCTAGTAAGAGATAAATTGAACCCAGCATCCCTAACTGGAAAGAGGTACCAGAGAACAAAAAAAATAAACTATGGGATAGGCAGCTGAAGCTCAATTTTAGATTTCTAGATTGTAAGCACGAACTAGTAAAAATGCTTTCAGGATGATGGGAGAGTCATTCCGATGTTGGAGGTCGGAGCTCAACACGAAGTATATCCAAAAGGGGTTAACTCCCTTCAACGAGTCCGGCAAAATAACTCCTAGTCAATGGGAGGAGCTCATGGCTCAAAAGACTTCACCGGAGGCATTGGAGCTCAGTGCCCGTAACACCGAGCTGGCGAAGAGGAACAAACACCACCATTATTTAGGCCTCGGTGGCTACTATGCCAAGGAAGAGCAGTTTAGGAAGATGGACGAAGAGGCCGCAGCTGCTGGGAATATCGATGTGACGAATTTAAAGGTACGCTCAAGGAATTGGATATATACGAGGAGTACAGAATCATCCGGCGGTAATCTTAAGTTTGATAAGTCAGAGACTGTGGGGGTATGGCCCCCAGTATCCTCAAGACAAGACATGGGCCACACCATCAAAGGTGGTCTGACCCATAAGATCGAGGCGTGCACGGCAAGATTACAAGTTGTACTAGATATTGTAATAGTACCAAATAGGATACTTTACTTATAACCCTCCTCCTCTAGACTATATAAGGAGAGGCAGGGGACCCCCTCAGGGGACAATCCATCTAGATCATCCAGATCATACAGATTTCACCTCAATCAATACAAATAACAGAGCATAGGACGTAGGGTTTTATGCCACACTAGCGGCCTGAACCTGTATAAATCTTGTGTCTTGTGTCTCTGTAACCATCTGGTTCCTGATTACACACATCCTACCGATAATCTACCACCACGGGCACCCCCCTCGGTGGACTGCCGACCATATTTCATCGACAGTGGCGCGCCAGGTAGGGGTCCCCTTTTAGGGGTTGTGCGTGCTGATCCTAAGCGAACCAGATGGGAATTTTCTTCGTCAACGTCAACCGCGGTGACTCGGCTTCTTGTGGCTGGCGTCCTTCAGCAACGCGTCATGGCATGATGATCTTGGTCGGCCTCGGCGGTGGCGTATCAAGAAACTTGTCCCATGCTGATTGGATCCGAGATCCCACCGTGATGCCTAGCTAGCTTGTAGACATGATCCAATCTGACTCATGGCGGACATGCAACCAATCAAAGAAGGCCAAACCAGGATGTCTGCGATCAACTTGCATGTATATATGCATCACATGCAAGCTTCATGTACTTGCATCTACGTACATGACCACGCAAGCGGCTACTCGGCCCTGATCAAGCAGCGACAATCAAGCAAGAGTTCCGAGTCTGACGAACACGTAACCTGCACGGGTGCACCGACTCCAGTTGAAACCTTCAACATCGTGCGCCAACCGCCACGGCCAAGCCGGGAGCATCTCATCTCATGACCACAAGATCTCCGACAGCAACATCATCGCTGAGATGAGATTCCAAACCATCGAACAAGCTGTCCGAGCCGTTGGCGAGCCACAGCGATCCATCAAGCAAACCATCCGAGCTGTCTGGCAAGTCTCGACGAGCCTTCAAGTGAGCTGGCCGAGCTCCGACCACCAGACAAGGTCGACCACGTCCCGAGCGGCTCCGCCGAGCTCCAACCACCAGACCACGTCGACCACGTCCCGAGCGGCTCCACCGAGCTCCGACCACCTCGACCACCAGACCACGTCCCGAGCGACTCCGCCGAGCTCCAACCACCTCGACCATCAGACCACGTCCTGAGCGGCTCCACCGAGCTCTGACCACCTCGACCACCAGACCACGTCGCAATGATGATCGCCATGAAGAACGGCGCTATGGCAACCGCAACCACCGTCACAACAGGCCGAAAAGTACGAGGATTGGACAACTTCATCACCGCCGACCAGATTTCTATCCAAAGGCCAAACCAAGATACAACAGATCAAGTTGTATATACATACGTCACGTGCAGGCTTACTTGCATCTACACCGCCATGGGCATATACATACATCACGTGCAAGCTTACTTGCATCTACACCGCCGTGCAAGCTACCAAGACTTGCATGTACACATGCATCCACGTATGAAGGCTGCGTGTTACACCTCCATGTATGAAGCAGATCGACCGCACGTCTTCGTATGCGGACCGACACCGCCGAGCTCCGACTACGTCCATCCTACTCCAACACTAGATTAACTCTGTTCCAGCCGACAAGCGAGTTGCCCATGTTGCCGACCAGATAACGCCATACATCGCCGACTAGACTTTCTGTCTAAAGCTAAGTCACGTTTTAATATTCTTCTAAATATTCTCCAATCTCCGTATATCGTCTTAATGTTTCTCTGAACTGTTTTCTCCATATTTGCTCTCCAAACAATTTTTTGAACCTCTGAACAGTCATGTTGATGCTCGGATGCCTCCAGAGACGGCCCTGTCTCCGACTCCTCCCTACACGTGCACGAGCGTCTGCCCTCTATGTTATG